TTCTAGATTTTCGATAAAGGAGATGTTTTATGCAACATAGAAAGGCTAAAAAAATGGAGTATGTATATTAAAAGTAGGTTTATTAATTTATACGTGTGTGTGTGTGTGTGTGTGTGTGTGTGTGTGTGTGTGTGTGTGTGTGTGTGTGTGTGTTTTCGCGTGCGGAGGTTCGATTGTATAGAACCAATAGATGTAAAGCAGATATTACTTTTAAAAACCTAGCTCACCTCGAAAGAAAGAATGAAATTCTTCCTTACATTCGAGTACTTATAAAATATTCCATTGGAAGCGTTCTGGGCTCATAACCTGTAGAGAAACTGGCCATGCCCAAGTGTAATTGGCAAAAAAAAAAAAATTAACCAAGTTTCTACTAAACAATAACAAAAGAAAAATCAGTACAAAATAATACAAAGCAAAGAATATATATACAAGAAAAAACTAGGCAAATCAACAGTAATAAGACAAAACACTCACAAAAATAAAATTGGTGTTTACACGCAAAAAGGATACAGTCAAATGATTATAGTGTACTGATTGCAAGACCAAGAATGAACAAAAGTATGTCGGGTGAGACTAGGAAGTTGTCTAGATTATTGGTTCGGAAGAAATCCCAGCATGCATCTGTACGGTTTGTCGATAAATTTGGGAATTCTAAATTAAAAAAAAAATTCTAAAAGGGAAAATTTTTATGTAAAATAGAAAGGAAAAAATGTATGAAATATATTAAGAGTAAGTTTATTAATATTTGATAGAGTATGAGTTTCTGCGTGTTTTTGTGCATGCGCAGTTTTTATTGCAAAGTGACAATAGATGTAAAGCAGATATTACTTTTCAAAAACTAGCTCAGCAGTAAAAACAAATGTAATTACGAATTCTTCCTTATATTCAAATATTATAAAATCTATTTTTCATTAGTCAATCAACTTGGTTCAGTAAATTTGATTTATCGGTTCCACACTAACGCCCATATACTCATAGGTGTACAAACTGATGATATTGCAAACAATAAACGCCTTTGAAAATGATTAGGTTGAATGATTTTGTTTAGTGACATATCAACACCTCTATGGGTTATTAAATGTCGGAATCTAAATATTATGAAGGCAATTATATGTCTTCAACTATAGATAAAATATAATTGTCGGTTTTTTCAGTATAAATAGGTATTGTTGGTAAATTTGCATATATAGAAAAATGTATTGCTGTTATTTTGACTATAAATATGTATTTTATACTTTCATATATAATGTAGAGAGAGTGAAAGACAGTGTGGGCACCGGAATCAACACTGCATGGCGGTAGCCAGTTTGCCTCCTCTTTATATATTGGTAGATTGGGGATTAAAGGGATGCGAAAAGAGATAATCTGTCATTATCAGTTCTTTTCTTTTAATTCCCTCCTCGCTGGTATAACCCTATTCCTATATATATATATATATATATATATATATATATATATATATATATATATATATATATGCTTAGAACTGAACAAAACGAAGATGCCTGCGACGATTAGATCTTTGCCTTCTTATAATCAAACTTAAATCGCAACGAGGGATAAGGCAGGTCTGAGATCGTCTCGATCTTCATCGATCAGCTGCGGTGTTGCAAGTCTTGGACCGACAGGGATGGTATTGTATGATTACAGAAATGTAATCAAGGTAGAGGATTTAACTGAGGTCCTGATTATTAAAAGTACACACATCCAAAGATGCCCCTACACACACACACACACATTATATATATATATATATATATATATATATATATATGTGTGTGTGTGTGTGTGTGTGAATATACATAATATCCAACATCGATTGCACGAATCGGAGTTTCATGCAGTTATCGAAACGTTCAATATAATATATATATATATATATATATATATATATATATGTATGTGTCCATCCATAATTAAGCATATACACTCATCAATAGAGAATAGAATCAGCATTAACTCCACTAATAAAGAAATATTCCAACAACACAGTCATTTTTATAACGCAGCCCTAAAAAATAAAAAAATAGTGGATACAAAAATGCTAACATCACTTATAGGAACAATTTACTAACCAGAAGAAAAACAGGAAAAGAGAAATTATTTGGTATACCCCTCCGTTCAACCAAATGGTTAGTATTAAGCTAGGACTGAAATTCCTAGCTTTAATTGAAAAACACTCTCCTTCTAATAGTATACTTAGTAAAATATTTAATAAAAACACCCTAAAATTAAGTTACAGTTGCACTGAAAATCTAGAAAGCATAATAAAAAAACACAATAATAAAATCCTGAATTAACCCCCATGCCAGAATAGTAGTAATAAAAACCCTACATTAGACAAAAATAGTGAAAAATTATGTGATTGTAGAAACCCAGAAGACTGCCCATTGGAAAATAAATGCTGTGTTAAATCTGTGGTATACCAATGTACTATATTGTCCACTGAGAGTCCTAATAGTAATATGATATACACTGGGTCTACGAAGAATGAATTTAAAACTAGATGGAGGCAGCATAAGTGCTCCTTCAACAATATAAATAAATGAAATCAAACATTTCTATCTAAATATTTTTGGCATTTGAAGGAAATGAATAAAACACCAAAAGTAAAATGGAAAATTATAAACAAAACTAGAACTTGTAAAATTTGGGATGACCCATGCCCTTTATGCCTACATGAAAATCTACACATTATCAAGTTTCTAAAGTTAACGGTATTTTGCCGACATCATCAAATTTTCGCATTGAATAATTAGCATAAAAAACAAACAAACAATAAAATAAAAAATACAAATTATAAACTCCATAGTCTAAATAAATAGTTTAAATGTCCTACCCAATAAAAAAATGATAACCCTTTATGAAGTCGTCAAAAAAACAAATGTTAGCGAATTATGACAGTTTTTTTATATACACTAAACCCTTTCAGAAAAATATAAAAAATAAAATTAAAAAATTAATAAATCTCCATAGACACTTAACCAGACTAGACGATGTCATCTTCCGCTTTAAATTTAGACACCCCAACCTTACCCTGACTTGACCTCTTTGAATGTAACTGAGATATTGATACAAGTTATTAACCCTTACGCCTCTTTTCTTTAAATAATTGCTCTAGCCGTTACCATAGTAATTTTAATTTTAATAATGAATATGCTAATAAAACGCGTAAATTTCAGGAATTAGTTATTCAAAAAAAAAAAAAAATTCGCCTGAAGATGGAACAGAGCTTGGTACTTTAATTCAATTTAATTCAAATAATTATATTGAAGTTTTCGGCTCTTGTTTTGAAACATGAGAACTCTTATGTAGCGATGGAATCATATATATATATATACACACACACACACACAAGCATATATATATATATATATATATATATATATATATATATACATATATATACATATATATATATACATAAAACAATAGGCAGCATATAATTTATATACAAAGAAATAATCACGCATAGAATCAATCAGTAATATTAATGCTATTATTGGCGACATCCATCGCTAGTAGTGTATAATGTATGCATTAAAATACTGTTAATCCATAGAGTGACGTGATCCTCATCTATAAAACTGTTGTCTGTTGTTTCCAGTTTATATTTTTTTATAATGCAAGTACTTTCGAATAATCCTTTATTCATCGTCAGGCATATCTTTTCCTTATAAAATCAAAAACTTGGAGACGAAATAATTGTTTGTAGACCGAAAGATGTCAATAATAGCATTAATATTGCTGATTGATTCTATGCATGATTATCTCTTTGTATATATATACATATATATATATACATACATTTATACATACATATATATATATATATATATATATATATATATATATATATATAGTTTATGCAAATTTAGGTAATCCGTATGGGTAGACCTGAGGGAGGATGATATCCAGAGAGCTCAATGTAAAATTCAGAGTAGATATGTTTGAATAAAAGACAGACCACGTTAAGATTCCATGTAATAAGCTATTTCACCATAACCCTTTAACAGGGTTCTGGATCATCAGACTTTACTTCCAAAAGCTGAAATGAAAAATGAAAAGAAATTCACACGTTTTGACGGACCTAATCAAGTATACGTAAAATTAACGAAGTGAGGAAGTGAGGTGGAGGAGAGGATATGAGTGTGTCATATGTATCATTTCAATTTCCTATTTTTAACCCCAGTGTGTCGGCTAGATGTTGCTTAAATTTAACGCGTCTCGTCTCTAGATAAAGGTGGTTAAGGGGTGAGCGATAAGAACTACATTAAAGGGAGACGTTACAACAACCCGAATAAATTACACGACGCGTTAAATTTGAGCAACATCTAGCCGACACACTGGGGTTAAAATAGGAAACTAAAATGATACATATGACACACTCATATCCTCTCTCCCACCTCACTTCCTCAACTTTGCGTATGCTTGATGAGGTCCGTAAAAAACGTGTGAATTTCTTTTCATTTTTCATTTCAGCTTTTGGAAGTAAAGTCTGATGATCCAGAACCCTGTTAAAGGGGTTATGGTGAAATAGCTTATTACATGGGATCTTAACGTGGTCTGTCTTTTATTCAATATATATATATATATATATATTAAGCCTGCATAATGTAATAATCTTTAATCAGGTACCGAAAGGATAACAAGAAAAAGAAGACTGACTGAAATGAAGTTAGTTAAAACGATGTCAGAGGTCAAGGTATATTAACATGGTTAGGGTTTTAGATATTTATTCGGCTTAGAAGGATTTGGCAGAGAAATCGTATAACGATGAACTTTCATGGCAAACCACAATGTCTGCTTTGAAAAAGCAGCAAGGTTTTTGTTTTTTTTATTTCAAAATTAGTTAAAAAGAAGAACAAAAGGTAAAGAAGAACGCAGAAAAGTAAAAGATAATGAAGGAGAAAGAAAAGGTGATCAAGAAAAAAAGAACATTAAAATTAAAGAAGGAAAGGGGAGTTAAAACTAAAGAAGACAAAGAAGGAAAAGAAAGATTACGAAGGATAAAGTATAAGGGAACAAAGAAGAAAAAACAGAAGGTAAAAAATCAGAAGATTTAGAAAAAGAAGATAAAAAGTGAAAGACGATGAAAAAGAAGATAAAAAACAAAAGAAAAAGTAAAAAGCGAAAAAGGAAAAAAGAAAAAGGTAAAAAGCGAATGAAGAAGAAGACAAGGGAAGCCTAAAATGCACATACAATCGTAATAAAGATGAACGAAGCCGAAGATTATGGTGATGAAGAAAAACAGAGTTAAAGGTAAAGAAGAAAATAGAAGGAGAAGAGAAAGAACAAGACGGAAAAGAATGTTTAAGGGAGAGAGGAAAGACAAAGGTAAAAATAGAGAAATTGTAATGAAGAATTAAAAAAAATAGAACATAAATAAGATAAAGAAAGCCAAACGTTAATAAAGACAAAGAAGAAATAGAAAGATGTTGGGTCATGAATAAAGAAGAAGAAGAAGAAGAAGATGAAGGAGGAGGAGGAGGAGGTAAAAGCGAATAAAGATGAAGTAAAAGGAGAAGAAAAAGAAGAAGGTAAATGAAATGAATAAGAAAAGGACGAGAAGAAAGAGCGTAAAGTAAAGCAGATGTAGAAAGCAAAAGATGAAGACGACGAAGAAAAGAAAAGAGAAAAGAAGAAAGCACAAGGGAAAGAAGATGAAGTTGAACAAAGAGAGAATAAATCATGGAAGAAAAAATGAAACACTAAAAGATAAAGAGGAGGCAGACACATTCAAGTCCAAGATAAAATAAAAATGAAATCGTTGGCAATTTATCACCGATACTCTTTTGTTTCTTTCGGGAAAATAAAATCAAGAGAATTGCAAAACAGTGTTCAATAAAAACGATGCCTTAAGGGAACGGATTTTGTTACCAAAGGTCTAGCTTAGTTTCTTTTTACTAGACACTTAACGTCTGATCAAAAGTCATTTCTTCTTTTACAAATGACCAACCCATCCAATAAAATAAATAATTATAATCGGCGATCAAAAAGAAATGGCTATAGAAACTTTTCCTGCAATAACAATTAGATAAAATATTGCTTTTTATTTTATCACATAAAATCCTGGACTCCATAAAATATGAGTCAATAAACTGGAATAGGGTGCAAACAGAAAAAAAAAAGATTATATGGGAGATAACTCACGTAGGAGATAAAGTAAAATGTTTTATCCTCCGTCTTTTCTCCTCAGTTATCCAGGTATCTAACTATGGTCGGGTACTTTCTTGAACTTTCAGTGATTGATTGAGTCGTTTTCTACGGATTATCAACCCTCTCCGTGTTATTTAAAGCAAAAAATATTTTAGATTGTAAGAATTTAAAAAAAAATAATAGTGGTTTACTGATACAAATCATTAACTAATTAACCCATAACTGGGGGAGAAGAGTTGGATTCTATGGAAAATAAGTTACCAGCGATGAACTCTTCTAATAGTGGTGAAAGCACTGCTGTTGGTTGCTTAAGGGCAGATAGGAGTGATAGAAGAAAGGATGAGGAGAGGGATAGTGGATAGATCAAGGTAACTCGAGATGTCGATTGACATTACATTTGAATAGTTGGAGATTATAGCTCTCAGGGAAACAGTAATAGGGAAGGGTGTTCCACAGGCGGGAGGGTGCGAGGTATGAAGCTATTGGAGTAGAAAAGACAGCTACATCTAAAAGTTTCTACAGTGTAAGGGTGAGAGCGGTATGCCAGCCTCGTAGGGCGCTTGAATTCATGGAGTCTGGGAAGCAGTGAAAACAGCTCATCGGAGCAATTACCATGAAAGTATTTGTAGAAAAGACAGAGAGAGGCGACGGCGCGTCTGTGAGAGAGTGACTGTAGACGAGATGCCAGATCAGGGCCAATTATATTACATATCCGTCTCTGGATCTTGTCAAGAACTCCGCGGTAAACAGAAGGTGCACCAGACCATATATGGCAGCAATACTCCATGCAAGGGCGAATGGTTGATTTGTATATTTGAAGTATCGATTCCGGGTAGAAAAATTTCCTGGCGCGGTACAGAGAGCCAACTTTCCTCGCGGTGGACGATGCAATTGATTCAATGTATTTGTTAAAATGTGATTGTGTTTTGGGCTTATAAGGAGCCCTGTTAATAGACAAAGTGGCTAGTATTGTTATCCACTAATCTGTTCTGCTTCTTCGTGAAGAGCATCTTTTTCGCAACTCTACCGATTGTTACATGGGTACTCTATGCGTCTTCCCCATTTTATGAAGAAAGAGCTAAACCCGTATCTATAGAAAATTAGCAGAAATTTCCGACAATTCATACATTTCCCAGGTGTTTTTGTGCTTAAATGAACATAAGGAAACCATCGGGAGTTTGATCTCGACTCTCCGATGAATAGTTCCAGGGCATTATTCACTACACTACCAGCACATCCATTGCATCATCTGCACAGCACCTGATACTCCCAAGCGGTCACCCATCTCGATACTGACCAAGCCTTAACTTCCAAGATTTCCTTATTGGTCTTCATTGACTT